GCACGCAGAGGGTTTGATACTGACCTTCTCCTGCAATCCTGCACTCTCCCTGTGTGTTCAACAGCTGACACGCAGCAATCCGCTGTGCTGAGCGAAGCAGCTGAGTTTCAAAACCAGGAAATAAAGCTCAGAATAGAACCAGGGCGGGCAGGCGAGCCCAGTAGCTGATCATTGGAGCGAACCGGTTCACTCACAAATGATCCTCGGAGCTACCAGTTTGGCTGAACTGGGCTGAACTGAACTGGTAGAATACCATCCCAGGACCATGGATATAACTTGCAAGAACCTGAATTCCTAAAATAGTGCCAGGGACATGTTATTAGAACATCCCAACAGAGAAGGAATAGAGGAAAACCAACTGGCATTCTATTAAATCAATGCTTAGGAAATGTCTTGGCACCATTTTGTTCATGTGGAACTCTATAGAAGCCATTTTGTGAGAGTTCTCACAATACATGAGAAATTTCAAGTCTATCTGCCCTAAAAGACTTGGGACTTGAAGTACAATATGCTAGTTCACATTCTTATATATTAATCCAGAAGCAGGCAACAGGATGTCCATATACTCAGGTATGCCCAAAGATTATTCTTCCCAGGTATCCTAACCTTCCTGATTTAAGAAAAAATAATAATAAACTAATCTGATGTAAAGCAGAATAGCAGCTTATAATTTCATTTTTTTACATTTGACCCTAGGCTAGGGGTGTCCAGCCTTGGAACTTTGAGACCTATGGACTTCAAATCCCAGAAATCAGCCAAATCTGGCAGTTGAAGTCCACAAGTCTTAAAGTTGCCAAGGTTGGTCATCCCTGCCTAGACCCTATAGTGACCCATGGAAATTCCAAATGATATTTTCTTTGGAACTGTGCCCACCAGCCATCAAAAAGAGTGAAATAGGTTGAATTGGCAAGCAGAAAACATCAGAGTCAGGAGTATTCCTATGTAAGAGGGCCCATAGCATCCTTTCAAAATTACTAATGGCTGCGTAAGATTTCCTGCCCCAAATGAAGCTGTCTGTCTATCTGTGTTATTATTCTCTAAATGGCTTTCTGACATTTCATCATTTATTAAGAGAATTACTTTTAATTAAATTAATGGAAGCATAACTTCATTTACTGACATTTATTATTTCTTTTATAATGATCTTTTTAAAGAACTTTATACATGGAAGTTGACGTTTTATTATTTTAGCAACAATACTAATGTGGGAAGAAAGATGTCCTGCATTCATATCACTGAACACCAATTTAATCCCTGTAGAGGTAGCAAAAGAAAAATCTACAGAATAAATGAAAATCTATTATCCCAAGCCAAAAACTATATTCAGGGGTAAAAAAGAGATCTTATTCCCATATGCATACTTGATCTTAAAAGCTAGGAGAGTTTCCTTTTTGTAATTTTGCAACTTGCCTGAGGGTTGTGTGGGAGTGGAATACTGCAGGCTCTGAGATGAAGAAAAATGAGAAACATGTTAAAGATAAATGGAACAGTTCTTTAAACATTAGAAAGTAGATTGGTAATTAAGACCAGCTCTCCAAGTCCAAAACCACAAAAGTTAAAAAGGGAAAATATTTCCAGAATTGCATATTACATATTACATTTTATATTTTAAAAAAACCTTCAGTAAAATATATGTTTTATTTGATAAAGCCTATAGACAAAAACATTTTTAAAATTCTTTACATTTGTTGTCTGTAAAAAAAGATAGTGGGCTCAAATCAAGATGCCCCAAAATGAAAAAAAAAAGTGCTAATAATCAGTTATTTTTACTGAGAAGCAAGCTTTGCTCCCCTGTGCTTTTCAGCTTTGAAAGACAGCCTTTGACTTCAAGAAAATGATCATTTTAAATTGTCAAGAGCAAAGAAATGTCACGTGGCCCTATCAAGTATCTGTAGAATTAGAGTACCAGAGAATTAGAAGGCCAGTAAAGTCCAATTGCCCCATTCAATAGAGAAACTGAACTTAAGCATCCCCCCAAAGATGATTGTCAAGCCACCTCTGCAATAGATAGGTCTACTTTTTAAATGGAAATAAAAGCTGCAAGGAGCAGAGCATGATGAATGATTCAATTTTCTCATATGATTAGATAAGATCCTCTGGTTCTGATTTAATGTGGGAGCTCTGGACTGGACCTGTCTCTCTGAAACACATTAAAATGCATTTTTTTATGAGACATGCTACATTTATTTTAACTGATATTTAAACTTGAATTTTATACTGCTTTGTAAATTAATACTAAACAAGTTGTAAAGGCAGTGTAATCAGTTTTAGCTTCATAACAGCTCACCTTTGAGTCAACAATGAACTGAAGCACAACATGCTTGGGAGAAGCTCTTTACAACAGCTACATATACTTGATGTGAATTAGATATACTATTCAGGAATCTACCTACATACTACTAAAATCCTTGTTGTCTTGATCTTTAATTGGGCAAAATGCTTTAGAGCAACAGTTTTTGAACTGAAGCACTTTAGATGGGCTAATTTACAGAATGTGGCCAAAATCTGGGATCCATGACTCCTGAGGGAATGGAATTTGGGGAAACCTTTGACTGCTTCAGTGCTCCTGGCTGCTGCTGAACATACTTGACTGCTGCTGTGGTCATGTAGTTTTCGTTTCAATGTTGCATGACAGCCAATCTCATAATGTTCCCAGTCTCGCAGTCCCTTGCTCCCTCCCCACCCAGCAGCAGCCATTTACCCTTCCTGGGAAGAGAAGGGAAGGGAAGGGAAGGGAAGGGAGAAGAATGTATTTCTGATACTCCTTGCCAGTTTCTCACAAGGAAACTCAAAGGAGAAGCTGGAAGTAAGTAAGAAGTAGTTCCCACTCCCACTGCCTATTTTTGTCCACACATGCTCATTCTGTTTAGGTAAAGCAATACCTCTAAAATGATAACCTAACAAAATGCACATATTGTCTGATTCAGATTAAAGAGGGTTGGGGGTGGGTGGAATTGGAATGATTCAGAGCTCACAAGAGGATTAATGTAACAGTGTAGACAGCTTTTTAAAGCAGTTATATCTTCTCCTTGGAATCGCCTGCCTGTTCTCTGCATCTGTAGTATGATCCAGGAGAAAGATAGCTTTGATCTAAGTTATTGGTGGCAAGTACTACTTGTTTGTACCTACACATTCTTTTCAGTACCTCCATATTCAAAGCACTGAAAGGCACTAATATGTGGCATAGGTCAATCCTATCCAACTAGATGACCTCCAGATGTGTTGGACTCAGGGCCAAATGATGTTGTGTATGTCACACCATCATGAAACAATAGATGTACTTTATATAATTAGCATTTATGTAATTTAAGTAATTAATATTACTTGCATGGTGATATTAAGCCAAACTTGATATCGCTGTGGCTTCTACTAGACACCTGGTATGATTGGGCTTTAGTTCGTGTAATCAAGACTACATAAAAGTAGATTTTAAATTAATTTAGCTGATCTGTCCATTTACAGACCCCTCATATCCTGGACATAAACTGTTTCAACTCCTTCCCTCAAAACAACGCTATAGAGCACTGCACACCAGAACAACTAGACACAAGGACAGTTGTCCATCACTCTGCTAAACAAATAAAAAACAAACAGCCATCACTCTGCTAAACAAATAATTCCCTCAACACTGTCCAACTATTTACAAAGTCTGCACTACTATTACTATTAATCTCATCACTCCTTATCACCCATCCCCTCCCACTTGTGACTGTGTGACTGTAACTTTGTTGTTTGTATCCTTACAATTTATATGGACTGTTTCCTAGTATGATTTGAATGCTTATTGTACCCTATGACTATCATTAAATGTTGTACCTGATGATTCTTGACTCTGATGAATGTATCTTTTCTTTTATGTATGGTGAGAGCATTTGCACCAAGACAAATTCCTTGTGTGTTCAATCACACTTGGCCAATAAAGAATTCTATTCTATTCTATTCTATTCTATTCTATTCTATTCTATTCTATTCTATTCTATTCTATTCTA